CCCGCGTCCCCTGCATTGGCAGGCGGACTCTCAACCACTGCGCCACCAGGGAAGCCCTGATACCACTCTTGATAGAGAATTCTAGGTGGTTAGTCATTTTCCCTGAGAATTTTGAAGGCATTGCTTTATATTACCTTCCAGCTTCCAGTGTTGCTCTTGTAAATCTAAAGACTTTAATTTATGTAGTCGTTTTTTCCTTTCTGAAAACTTACGGAATCTTTTCTTTACCCCCAGTGTTTTAATGTGTCAAAAAGAGGTGCCTTGTTATTTATTTTTAAAATCAAATATTCTGGGTATTCAGTATGCCCTTTTAAGTTGGAAAACTAATGTTCATTAGTTCTGGGATATTTTTTCTTTGATAATTACCTCTCATTCTAATTTTCCAGAATGCATATTAATTGAATGTTAGACCTTTTGGATTAATACTACTTTTTTTTTAAGCTTTCTGATTTCTTTTATCTGCTTCCCCCCATATTTATGGAACTGTTAATGATGATGATGGTGAAGATTTTTTTTTTTACCCTTTTACTTTGGAAAATCGCAAACATACACAGAAAATGCATATTATAATAATCCCTCATGTACTTATCACTCATTCTCAACAATTATCAATTCATAAACAAGCTGTTTAATTTTGAAGCAGATCTCAGACAGCATTTATTACATCCATAAATATTTTGGCATGTGTCTCTGACAGATAAGGACTCTCAGTTTTAAAGCTCTCATAATTATTGTTATAAACATTATTTTTTAAAGTCATCAAATATCCCATCAGTTTATAAATTTCCAGGGTTATCATAAATATAATTTTTAAAAGGAGCTTAAATCTAGATCCAAATAAGATCAGTCACACTGTGGTAGATGAATGTGCCTTTTTAGTCTATTTTAGTTCAGTTTCCATTCCACATATATCTCTCTCCCACTCTCATTTTCTTTTCTCTCTTTTCCTCTTATGTGTGTGCATAGTTTATTGAAGAAATCTGATTATCCAGTAGTTTCCTGCAGTCTGGATTTTGCTGACTTGCAGGTTGATGGTTAGTAATGCTTATATGTATAATATGTATAGCATAGGAGGAATTCAGAAGGTATTTAGTAAACGGTAGTTAATGGTAATAGTGTAATTTTCTTCTCTTATCAACTAGTATAGCAGTTGTAACTTAAATTGTGTTATTAGTATCTTTAGAAGAAAACCTTGTTAATGTCAACATAAAAAGAGCTTACTGGGCTTCCCTGGTGGTGCAGTGGTTGAGAGTCCGCCTGCCGATGCAGGGGACGCGGGTTCGTGCCCCGGTCCGGGAAGATCCCACATGCCACGGAGAGGCTGGGCCCGTGAGCCATGGCCGCTGGGCCTGCGCGTCTGGAGCCTGTGCTCCGCAACGGGAGAGGCCACAACAGTGAGAGGCCCACATACTGCAAAAAGAAAAAAAAGAGCTTACTAATTCATAAAAAAAAAACTATTTAACTTAAAATTACTGATATTAAACTAGGCACTTCAATTTTGGAGGACTCATCACATATCATATCAAACTTAGTAGAATGAATCCAGATACAGCCAAACAATGAAATGCTATTAAGATTAAAGAAACCCTTGTGTATTAAAATGGAATACTTTCCCAAATATACTGTTAAGTGAATATATTGTTAAGTAAGCAGTGTAATACCATTTATGTAAAACAAGTAGAAAAAGACCCTCTCTATATTCATTTATGTAAAAAGGGGGAATAACAATATATATGTATAAAATACCCTCAGACACATATAATATATGCCTCTGGTGATGGGAGCTGGTGACTAGAGCATGGGAGTGAGAGGAAGACTGAGATTTCAGAATTTACAACCATGTAAATATACCTTTTCTCCCCTCCCCTCCACGTTAAATTGCTCCAAAGTTTTTTGTTTGTTTGTTTTTTTGTGGTACTCGGGCCTTTCCGGTTGCGGAGCACAGGCTCCGGACGTGCAGGCTCAGCGGCCATGGCTCACGGGCCCAGCCGCTCTGCAGCATGTGGGATCTTCCCGGACCGGGGCACGAACCCTGGCGGACTCTTAACCACTGCGCCACCAGGGAAGCCCGCTCCAAAGTTTTTGATATGATTATTTCACCTTAAGTGTCTGACAGCTTTATTGAGTTATGCTTCACATACCATTTCAGTGTACTCTTGAACGGTACAATTCAGTGGTTTTTAGCGCATTCACAGGGTTGTACAAACATGATGACAATCAATACTAGAACATTTTCATCACCTAATTAGCAATCACTTCCCATTTTTCTCCAAGTCCTCTAGCCCTGTGCAACCACTGAAATACTTCCTGTGTCTGTGGATTTGCCTATTCTGGATATTTCATGTACGTAAGTGGAATCCTAAAACATGTGGTCTTTTGTGACCAACTTTATTCACATAGTGTGTTTTCAAGGTTCATCTGTATTGTAGCATCTATTAGTACTCCATTCTCTTGTATTACAGAATAATAATCTGTTGTATGGATGTACTGCATTTTATTTATCCATTTATTGCTCGATAGACATTTGAGTTATTTCCACTTTTTTGGCCTTTACGAATAATGCTGCTCTGAACATCCATCTAAGAATGGATTATCACTGCACATAAACCCATTCTATCAGGAACCTGTTGGTCTCAGCAGAGAAGTCAATGCCAGTCTGATTCTGCTAAAACTTCAATAAAGCTAAAAGGTAATCTGTGCAACCATTAAAATAATTTATAAGCAGGGTGTGTAGTATGATTCTATTTTTATAAGGGGAGGAAAGGAATGTGAAGCAGACAGTGACAGCTTTTTGATAGACAGTTACAGAATAGTCCCTACCTTGAAGAAACACTCATAATCACAGTTGAGCATGGTTTAATCCTCTAATAGAGTTCTGAAGTAATGCATAAGAGGGCACCTTACCTAGCTTACGTGGGCCCAGAAAATTTCTTGAAAGCAGATATTCTGGGCCAAGGCTGAACTATCAGTAGGAGTTAGGGGAATGGGTGGAAAGGGGGAGGCAAGGAGAAGAGAAGAATTTTAGGTACAGAAAACAATGAGGATAAACGGCAGGGTGTGTGAATCAGCCTGTTGTGTTCAGTGACCTCTAAGCAGAGAAGTTACCAGATTATGATGTCAAGGAAGGGAGTCCCATGAGAAGAGCAAGGTGGAGAGGTGCTTTAGTCCAAGGTCAAACCATGGAAGCTTGGTGGGCCATGTTGCCAATGAGCTTAAACCGGATGCTATCTATAGTGGACAATCACAAACAGCTTTCAGTACCAGAGTGACATAGTCAGCTCTGTGGTTTACGTAGGTTATTTTTGTTTCTGAGTGCCAGATCCAAGAGTCTAACTTTCTTGAAGGTCAAGAACTTTGTTTATTGACCACTGTATCCTCAGCCTAGTACAACGCCTGGCATGTATCTAAGTATTCACTAAGGATGTTAGTAAGGCAGTATAGTTGTATATTGCAGTTGAGGGCAGGGGTTACAGCACGGGTCTGAATAGCTCCATGACCTTAAAGCAAGTTTCTTAATCACTCTGTGATCAGTTTTCTTATCTAGAAAATGGGGAGAACATTGGACCCTACCTAATCAGTTTGTTGGGAGGATTAAGTGAACTTACATAAAGCACTTAGATTTGTGTTTGGCTTATAGTAAGTACTGTGTAAATATTAACAGTTGTTAGTATTTCTTTGATAAAGATTAATACAAACTGGAACTGCTGAGGGCCTGATCTCAGAGCATTCATAGGGTTGCACAGGAATGGATGGATTTAAGAAGTATTGAGTAACACAGTTAGATAGGATGTGTGAATAAGGGTGAGACGGAGTTAAGGTTAATTTTCTGATTTAGAGCTAGAGCTTTAGGTTTCCCCCTTCCCCCAGTGCGCGCGCGCACACACACACACACACACACACACACACACACACACACACACACAC